GGAAAAATGAAAAGAAAAAAAGAAAAAAAGAAAAAAATTCAGAAAAAAAGAAAAAAAGAAAAAAGAAAATAAGGAAAAATATAAAATATGTTGGAACTTTTTTGTGACAGTGGCAATTGGTCAGACCTCACATAGAAGAATCTTCCTAGGAGGTAATGTCTCCAATGGACTAGCGCTCTGTATAGGGCGTAGAGCTCTCTCTCATAAGTGGACTTAGCTAACTTTTGAGATGGCATCTTCTTGCTCCTATCCTCGATCGGTCTCAACTTGGGCCCTTCCTGTTGCGCAAGGACCGCGCCTATGCCATATTGGCTAGCGTTTGTGGTGACAATGAATGGCTTGTCAGGATCCAGAAGTTGGAGAACTTCGTAGTGTGTCAGAGCATACTTCAATTTCTTGAAGCTTGCTTCACACTCTTCAGGCCACTCCCAAGGGGTGTCAAGTCGAGTTAGATCTGTTCATGGGGAAGCTATAGTACTATAGTTCTTTACAAACGGACGATAATAGCCCGTCATCCCCAAAAACGATGTGACCGTCTGAGGTCTGGGCCAGTCACGTATGCTGGCCACCTTTGCATCTTCCGGCCTCAATCCATTTGCTGAAATTTCATGACCCAAGTACAAGATCTTGGTGCGACCAAACTCGCATTTATCCAAGTTCACCTTGTACTGGTGCTGTCTTAGGAGTTCTAGCACTGTTTTCAAGTCCTCAGCGTGCTCCTCTACAATCCTACTAAAGATGAGAATATCGTCGAGGTACACGACGATATACTTGTCCAAGTAGTCATGAAAAATCATGTTCATCGCGTGCTGGAACGTATCAGGTGCATTGCATAGGCCAAAAGGCATCACCACAAACTCGTACAGACACTGCATAGGCTGCATGGGCCCAGGGGCTTGCTGCAGCGGCCGCATAGCCACCGAAACAGGCTGTTGCACACTAAGCTGGGCCTGGTTTGACAGTGTGACTGTAGTAACCACTGTCGTGGATGGTACGACTGAGGCTCTATGAACCGGACCACTAGTTGTTCAACTAGGATTTGTTTCTGGCCTGCCACCAACTCGGCCAGCAATTCTTGCCGGACGTTCTGCGCTTCAGCCACTGAAAGTAAGGCATTACGCAGCACACGAACAGCAGGATCTAATGCCGCCTCATCTAGTCCTTCCAGCCTGCCTAGCTCCTGCATTCTACTCCCTAGTCTAGCCTTTCTAAGTATGGCTTTTCTTCTCCTCTCTGCTGCTTCGTCCAGCTGCCTCTGTAACTCATCTTGAAGTTCTTCTGCTTGGCGGATTTCTAAGTCCTCTGCCGTGAGTTGAGTCTGCTGGCGGACTCGCAAGCCAACAATCTGACTAATGGTCCCCTGAGAACCACTCTGACTAACTCCTGACGAAGTGGACTGTGAAGAGGTTTGCGACATAGCTGAAGTAGCCATGGCTGCACCGGTGCTAGCTGAAACTCTAGCCCTAGCACTATCCTCAGCTGCCCTCGCTCTTCTTGCCGCTGCCCTCTCTCTAGCCTCTCTCCGCAATCTTCTCTCGTCTCCTGGACCTAACTCCAAGAATGTCAAGGGTCGACTACGGGCAGTCCCGCAAGTAGTCCTACGATCGTCCACTAGCAACTCCTCCTCACTAGTGCTTGCATCACTCATGAGCTACAGTGTGTGTGATCTAAACTAGAATCCACACTGAATCCTACCTTAGCCTGACACACAACCGATTACGAATCACAACTCATTTCGGTCGGATGGAACAGAAACAGTTAGGTGATATAGTAACAATTAATGTCAGGTCCTACAGGATATATTAAATCTATTTTTAGATTACCCTGAAACAGATTGCAATACAGCAAAGATCTAATTTGTCTGTAGCTGTCTATCAGTTGTTAGACAAGTCTGTAACAACTAGATAATCAAAATAAAAATAACATCTCGTGTTGGAGATGTCTGCTTGATGGCAGATTGTCTGTTGATTGCCACTGCGAACAGTTACCGGAATCCCCGCTCCCCCTGTATCCTTCTTGACTGGTCACTTTGTGTCGACGCCCCGAGCATCTGGTTGAGCAACGTGTCTGAAGGTGTGCAATCCGGCCCACCCCTGTGCCCCAAGTCAACGCTGAACATGCCAGCCCCTGCACTCTTATTTACCCTCGCATGCAACGAGCCTTACACCCGGTTGATCTGGCTGATCAGGAGGGATTTAAGGAGAGCCCCTATCTCCTCAGGAATTATTTAACGTCGCAGTCAGGACGACAATCACAGCCAGATTCAAATCCGAGTCCCCAGCCAGAAATGTTTAAAGATGGTCTGGAAATTGTATATAAGGGCTGGCATGCCCTGCATGACCTCTATTGCGCAAGCAGCAGAACCAAGGACTTGCGGCAAAGCATGCGTGTACTGGTCCCAGCGGGTTGGCATGGTGACCGTGACCCGAGTGCTTCGTCCAGGGCCCTTCAGAGGCTTCGCCCGTCTCCCACCAGCTTGCTGCCCAGGAAGAATGTCGACTCTCAAGGTTGAGCGCTCGCGACACCTCACATCGAGAGGACTCTCAAGACAAAACTCACTTCCTCATGGTAAGAAGAGATGAAGAGGGTAGATAAGGAAGAGAGCAACGTACCTCATGATTTCTCACCGGTAACCTGATGTGCAATTATGATGACCGGTCTTTGCCTCAACACAACCAACAGCAGAATGCGGTTCCACCTCGGCTTAATATGCCACATCAGCGAGTTCTCATCATCCAGCATACACCCCGTATGTCACCACATAGCTCCCTGGCGCGCCCACTCTACCCTGGGCCTCCCAATGTTCAACGCCAATGCCTTATCACTGGCCCGCACCTCATGCGAAGCACCAATAACTATTGCAAAGAACCAATGAAGCACAATATGAACCAGCTCCGATACCAAATTGCAAGGAAAATAAGCAACAGCGAGATGACAATTCCAGATCACACCATCACATTGAAAGCCAGATAGTCACACCGTGTCTAGAGAGCAGCGTTGCACCAATAATACACCAATGGAGGTTCGTAGCACTGAAAACTAATGTTCATGGAGAGCATACTGTAATGACCCGCCAAAAACACAGACTGAGAACACTGCTGATTTTTGGGATTTGTCACTAGAATGAATGCCTTGCTGTGATTCCCGCATTCTTCTGTGGTCCCAAGTCTGTGTGTATGCGTGCCTGCTGGTTTGCATGCTTGTCTGAGTGCTTGCTGGTTGGGTATGTGGGGTGACCCGCAAGGGTACTTGTTGGTTGCAAGGCCCACCGGGCCGGTACTTACCTGTAGCCGTGACTTTGAAGGGTTGCAGGGGGGTAAACACGCTGGTAGCGGGGAGTAGGCACACGACACTTAGAGCAGCTGGGGAAAAACACTCAAGTAGCAGGTAGGCCGAGCAGAAGAAGACAAAAAGTTGGCATTTTTAGAGGCCCAGTAGCGGTAGGTTAGAGGTAGGCCGGTACTAGTCCAAGTAGCCCGGGTCTAGGGTCGGTGCGGACAATAACAGAGCCTGCAATGATGTTTCCCTCCAAAAGGGAGGAGGTACCGGTTGCTAGGAGGCCGCTTGGCCTAGGAAGTCACCGCCCAGGAGGCCGGAAGGCCGCTATATCTTCAGGAAGAGCGGAGAGCTCTTCCTCATTTGCGGTATGCAAGGATTGGCGACATGCTGCTGGAGCGCACCGCTGGACTGAAGCAGCGCTGCTTGGAGGTGAAGGTCCGCTGGGGCTCAGCCTGGCTATGATGAGCACCCCAGCTTGAGGAGGAGGAAGAAGGGGGCATGGTAGGAGAGTGGTAGGGCACTTACCTGGCTATGGTGGACACCGTCTTCATCACCTTGTTGGGCGCTGCATCAGAAAGGCCCCAGTTGGGGTAGCGCTGCACGAGGGCAGCTTGAGGCAGAGTCAGGCATAGCGGACCAAGTCAAGCAGCAGCATCGTTGTTTTGGGTTGTCTTCTGGACATCAGGGCAGCACCATAGCTGCCACCCAGTAGTCCGCCATGGCCTATGCATGAGAGAGGAGGTTGAAGGAGGGAAGACATAGCCATGGTGGACTTGTTGTTGTTGTTGTTGTTGTTGTTGTTGTGAGTTGAGTCAGCAGTAAGAGGGGACTTTGGACATTGATTCTGGTTCATCCATTCATTGTTATTATTATTATTGAGAGAAGAATAAGATTGGTGAAGAGAAGGAGAAAGGAGGAAGGTGGAGAGAGAAGGGGGAATTGTCATTGGTCATGCTGGTGTACTTCTTCTTCTTCTTCTTCTTCTTCTTTACCTCTCCTCTGGTCTTTATCTCTTTGCAAGTGCTTTCATTTCTTTCCCAATTGGGTGGCATTGTCTTTCATTGTGAATTTGCACTTGGGAAATGACCAGGATCGTAACAATTGGTATCGGAGCGGACTTACTTGCTGGCGAGAGGTGTTAGTCACCCTAACCCTAATTCCGAATTAGGTTAGGGCTAACCTAATCTCGGATTAGGGTTGGAAGTTAGGGTTAAGTGGGGCAGCGAGGTATGGGGATGCTGCCCCCACCTGGTTAGGTCATGTAGGGTCGACATTGGACCCAACCAGGTTGCTTGAGTGAATGTATGGGGTGGCGAGACACAAAGGATGCTGCTTGGAGTTAGCGAGAGGGAGTAGAGAGTGAGAGGTACTCGCACCTGGAATCTGAACTTCAGGAAGACATTGAGTGACTTTTGGGCTTCCCCTCAAGAGGGAGACTTGATCCGAGGTTGCCATATTTGCATCGGATTGCTGCAAGTTGCTACTTTGGTCTTCAGGCATCGACGGGGGATCCAACTGTGCAACAGGGGTGTAGGAAGGCCGTCTTACTCATGCTAGGACACTTCGTGTAGTGGTAGCTAGGGGTCAGGAGGACTTATATGAGAGGGGAGTGACTCGTAATCCATCTTTGGTGGCCGGGCCTCATAGGTAAGTGCTTTGTGACCTGGGAAAGCCCGTGGGAGGTTGCTTGGTGCTTCATGGCCTGTTGGGGGTGTGCTGGGTTCTCTTCCTCTTCTCTGTGGTCTTGGTTGTGTGTATGAGCTTGTGGATTGCTTTCTCACCTGATGGATGGATGGAAGATGTATCTACTCTAAATGACATATCTTTCTACGGTGCATTGTCTTTTCATTTCTGAACGGCTGTAGAAGTGAGTTCTTGCTGAAAGTTGTCTTTTCCTTTTCATTACAGTGGAGGCAATTTGGGACCGACTTGGCACCCCTATCACGTTGGGCCTGGTCCACGGCCTACTTGGGACCCCTCGGGACCCAGTGGGACCAGGCCCAACGGGACAGGACCTTTTGGGCCTAGATCTGTTGCCGCCAGTGCATTTCTTTGCTGTGCTGGAATTGGGGGACATACGGACAGCAAGGGCATTCCTTTCAAGGGGATCTTGAGTGGCCTTACCGCATGTTAGCACATACTGCCCTGCGTCTGACTCGGTGACCATTTGCACCCCTCGAAATCTCCATTGCTGCAGATTAGTCTTCTTCGTTTGATTTACTGTGATGTATGTCCCCTGTCAGGTTAGATAAGAGGGGATCTCCAGCTGATCTGATCGGGCCCGTTCTATAAATCAGACCTCTCTGCTGTTTTTATTTATTGATTTTTATTTATTCTTCTGTTGCGTGCCACATTCTAAGTCCAAATGATTCGCCGCTCCGGCCAGGAGTTCTACCTTCTTCTCTGAGCGGTTTTCAGTTTGTTTCTTTCATCTGAACTATCTATGTCCAGTATTGAGACGCTGTCGCACTTTTTTCCAGTCGGGCCCCTTGGGCGACCGGAAAGCCAACAGGCTGTCACGCAGGATTTTGTTTGTGATTGCAATAAATAAAATAAATTAAATAACGCAAATCCCTTCCTGTTGTGTGCGCCCGGCTTCGAGCGAGACCCTTCAATTGCGATCTTCGCCGGTCCCCGGTCTTAGGAATCTTTTATTTTGATTCGGAACAACAGAGAACTATGCAAATAATAATCATAAAATTATGGGGTGCTATGCATGTATCAATTATGTCAATCAGATTTTGAGAACTGTGACAAAACATCCACGAAGGCAATCATCAAGCAAGAATAATGCAGGAAATAAGACTGACCGACTCGAACAAAGACAGAGGTAATTGAATGAAGGAAGAATGAGAACTCGTAATAATCTCAGAAAGTACACATAAACGAGCGTGGTCAGCACCTCTCAAGAGTCCTCACTCATCCCTCTAGTCCGTCTCTCAATCTCTTTTCACTACTCTCTGGTGTCAAGACCCACGCCCACGTACAATCTGAGACTGAGGCTTCGTGACAAAAACCCACCTATAGCCAGCAAGCTCTGAGCACGACCATCCGAGGCACATCACACGGTAGTTAACCATGGAGCAAAACTCCTCCCACAAAGTAGGCAGTCCGTCTACTGAAAAGACTCATCGCCTGAGGTAGGGATACTCGGTAGGCTCAG